ATGGCTAGATGTAACAGTAGGTTTTATGCTTACAGTTTCTTCTCGTTTGTGGAACTCTCCTTCCAGCATCTTGCATTTCAGTCAACTTTGGTCATCAAAAATTTAGATGCGATGTCTGTCTTTTTAATTCCTGTTCTTTTATTATTTTCTCTTCTTAATAATATATTTTTTCTTACATTCTCTCACACACAGTAACACCCCCTCTATTGCTTTGCGTGCGGTGAAAGGATTAAAAAATATTTTATCAGTACATATATAGAGACCTTTTAATGGAGGTTTAAACTACCATACACACTCCAATGACGTCATATGAATCATTGCGCCTTCTTCGGCTAACGTTCTCAGTTCACATGAACTGGAAAGACTATATTGAATCCACTGCTAGGGCAGCTGCTAAGAAAGTTGATTCATTGTACCATGCTAGGCAATTTTCTCTTAGAATATCACTGCCACATATAGTCCGGTTCTCCTGCTATGTATTTAGAGTTCCTTGATAAAATCCAAAGAAGAATCAGCAATATTATTGGTCCTGATTGGGTGTTTCCTTTTTAGTCACTTTTTCTTATTATATTTTCATGGCAATTGTTCGGACAGACTTTTCGCTATGGTATCTAGACTGCATTAATTTAAGCGCAATACTAGAATAGCGACGAGATCTCATCAATTTACAGAAAGTTGGTTAGATGCAACCGTAAGTTCTATGCTAACAGTTTCTTTTCTCGTACTTCTGGTTTGTGAAACTCCTTTTGGGCTCCATGTTTTTCAGCCAACATTAATCTGCAAAAATGAGCCCAAATGACAAAAAAACCTTTGCCAATGCCTTATGAAGACTGAAAGTACTCAGGCATTGGACTATATATATTTAACCTTTCGCAGAAACCAGAAAATAGTTCCATAAAAGAGAAATTAAAAAAACAAAAGAATTTTTAAGATAGAATTTTCGTTGGTCTTAATGAAAACTGATATATATATATATATATATATATATATATATGTGTGTGTGTGTGTGTGTGTGTGTGTGTGTGTGTGCGTGCTTATGCGTTATTTTGATAGATAAAATATTTAAGTAAATTCTCTGGTTAGCAAAGTCCAATTAATGTTTTTAAACAACAAATTTCCCATGATTTCTCTCGAGCGATCATATCTGCTCGAAGCGTATCTCAACGTAAACAAATTATAACCAGACCATTCCTCTGTAGCTAAATAGTATAGCATATTAGGCTATATGACAGTTCCGTGTAGGATACAGGTTCGATTCCTGTCGGAGGATTCATATTTTCTATGAAATTTCTCGGACATTCAGGCAGGTAAATGTAGTTAATACTCTTTATCATAAACAGAGTATTTACTTAAATATGTGTACACTATTTTCATTATTCGAACTAATGTCCTCATCTTGGTTGCCATATTTATCCCAACGTTTCGGTCCTTGTACGCTCCGGCCTTCTTCAGGGGGTTCGAATGTCGAACTGAACCCTTTATTTCACTCGCTGTGGTAGACTGTTCTAGTTCCACGTGCCTTTATTGCATAACCCCATATAACGAAGTTCTGTATTTTCGCTGGTTCTGCTTATCCGATTTTGTTTCAATAAACGATGGCACACATTCTGTTTTTTCTTGAGGAGTAGTCATTTTTTACGGGTTCATTTAATATCTGAAATGCACAAATGCAATATAATTAAATTAGAGCAAATCTGATTAAGTTATTTCATCAATCGCCTTTTAATATATTTTTTAAATTGTAAAGAGACATTTTGGACACCGTGTATATATTTTAAAATATCTATATATTTTAGTTTCATACATATTTTTATAGATATATTTAAATATATATATATATATATATATATATATATATATATATTGATTTTTTTAATTGAATATTTTTTCTTTATAATTTTTGTTAATTATCAGCTAGTAGCAGCCATAAAATCGAGCCATAAGGTCGATCAGAAAAGCGTTCAGTTAGAATGGAGCAAAAAAAAGCATCATGTTTACGTGTAACAGAGTCTATCTTCTTCTATTACTTTAAAGTACTTTCATTAAAAAAAAAAACATTTTGAATTAATGTAGTTACTGATATAACAGAAGTCGTCTGTATTTATTCTATCGAATTTAGCCGAGGACATGAAAGAGTAAAACAAGCAACATGAAAGCCCACTTCAGATCGCAATTATTTTGGAGTTTTTGAAATTCAGTTTATCAATCTGCTACCAGGGATGTAAAAGAGGGTACATTTATAAAGCAATTGTTAAGTTTTATGAAAATTGGTTAAAAGATCAACGAAAAATAAGAAAGAAGCCAGTAAAAATCACCATTTTTCGCAGTTTATGCGGATTTTCCCTATAGGAGTGGAGTCAGTTATCAAGTTAAATGAATGTTAAACAATCAACTTATTGTTGGCTACAATTAAGTGAAGTTTGTATTAGATTGCTTGAAAATTAAGGGAGTTTTTAGTTTAAAATTTGAAATCGATTTTTCGTTTTTCGCGGTTTTTCGCTAAACATAGTGGGGTAGAAATAAAAATGAGGTAGCGTTGAACTCGTCATGTAAGTAACCTACATACCGAGTTTGAACAAAATCGGAGGAAGAAAGTTGAATTTATCGATTTTGATCGGCTTTAAGAACAAAAATTATCGATTTTTTACGCTAAGAGCCCATGTCTTACATTTTACAATGTATGTGCCAAGTTTGGTCAAAATCGGTTGGATGGATCTCGAGTGAAAAGGTATCACACAGAGAGGCAGACAGACACATAGACATCCTCTGTTATATATATATATATATAGATTATGGTATGAACAAGGAATCTGTAAGAGCGACAAACATTTGACTGTGCTTCGTATACATATAACCAACATTTATATTCTTTTGTTGTTCGGATGCTGGAAAAATCCCGAATGTTGTAAAGTGCTCTCGCGTGCATTTATTAAGTAATCGGTGACCTCAGAGATTTGACAAGTACACATTTCTTTTGTTGTTGTTGTTTTTTTTTTTTGTTTGTTTTTTTTTAGCACTATTGCTGCTTAGTCCCACAAATAGATTCCTCACGTGACTTATTGATCAATTTTGATGTCTCCTGGAGTTAGGTGCAGATTTGAAAATGATTGCATCTGAACATTGCTTGTCAGACGATCGCCGGAAACAGCTAAATAATTTCCGGTGTTATTGACCCGGCGCATTTCTATTCGCTGACTTCATTTTAGACGAAAGAAGGACACCTGCTGCAATGATGACACATAATCAACCCCTCCCAGGTGACATGGAACCAGTTATCAAATACACATCAACTGATATTGTCTTTGTTTAACGATGCGAATTATACAATTGTTAATATTGTTAAAATGCCTAGAATTTGGTGCTTTGTAAAGTACACGTTGCCTTAAAAGTAAAAATAATGGAAGAAAAAAAAAGCTGTTTCGATGTATATTGACGCCGTGTTTGAACTAAAATTACTTTCAATTTAACCCAACAAAATCAAGTCTGTGAAAGATACAGCTTACAAGTTGCCAATCCACGTCTAACCGGTTTTGAATCTCCCGATCAGAGGCCTTGTTGCCGGATGTAGTTTATCGTCATACCCAAGACTTAGAAGGAAAGTAGAAGTGTTGAACGTATGTTGCCGTGAAATGAAAAAAAAAAGCTGTCAATTTCAAATCTTTTCATTTGTACACCATTACTTCTTTAACAACCAGCTTTCATATACATGATTGCTATTGCAATATTTTGTTAAAGTTGTTAAGCTCAAAAATTTAACGATGCGATCGGGGAATTTCTACGTATATTTTATTGTCGTAGACCTCGCTATGAGCTTATTCGATCATTAACTCAAGAATTATGAATCATTAGAAAATTTAAACCGTGAAAATTTTACGGGTCTTTCTAGTTTCAGTCAGTTATATGCCATGTATGATACGAGCTTAGGCGATCATATATCTTTCGATACATGACTGACGGTGCAGATTTTTTCCCCGCAGGAAACAACTTCCCCTGATACTTTTGTGTTGTAGAGTATTTTTCACAGTGGAGGCTTGTATTTCACTAAGCCGGTCCTAAAAGAGGTTCGACGTACAAAACGTTAGGAACTTGAAATAATAGTTAATGACGCAGCAATCTAGTCGTGGTGACTACTTATTATCTGTGGGAGAGTCTATTACAATAGAATAAGTATGGTCCGGTATAACATTCTGAACACTTAGTATCCCCTTAAAAATTCACAGCGTCCCCAAGGGAGTGTTATCGTCTACATTGGCAATCATTTCTCGATAGCCAAAAGTAAACAGAGCGGATAGTAGATAAAGAACTCTTATCCTCGCTTAATTGTATCGATAATCGATAAAATATGAAGCATAATTCTAGAAAGTTAAATTATATATTCTGTCACCTGTAGTATGGGAATTGTCCCCATATATATAAAAATGAACAATCAACAGCTATTTAAACGTACAATAAAAAGGAATCATAGTTTTAAATTGAAACAGAAATAAATTGTTTATTTACAATATTTAATGTGAAAAGAATGATGGGATAGAGAAATGCTCAAAATATTTTTTTCAACGCCTACGGAAAATAAACTATGAAGGGAAAATGTTCATATAAAATGAGGACTTTTACTCTAGTAGCAGAAGTTATAAAAGTATCTAGTAAATAGTGTTAAATTTCTATGGGGTTGATGAAGTGTTGTCAACTTTTGATAAGCCGTTCGGGTGCTGAGAGGGAGTGAATGTTTACTGTAGTTACAGAATGATCTTGTACGTGGAAACTTTCAGAAGTTGGTATGGCCTTGTAGAATTGTAATTGAAGAGAGTATGTCGACTTCGAACTATCAAGGGAGATTGGATCCCCTTGTGTGTTTGTTTCTAATGAACAAGTTCAGCATTATATATAACAACACCAGTCTAATGTAACATGCAAACAATAAGATATAATAAAAGCTAATTAAATTTAAGAGCACCAACCATGCGTTGAGTTTACAGGGAGATGGGCATACGGCACGTTATGCTGAAACATCGATTCCTGTACGATCACTGAAGTTAAGTAAGGTCGAACCTGGTCAATACTTAGATGGGTGACCGGTTGGGAATACCACGTGCTGTAAGCTTGGATGTGCGGCTGGTGTTATGGATAATGGCGCAAGAATTGTTAATCGGAGAGCCAAGTTCCAATTCCATTTGGGTCCGTTATATTCTTTTATACTATGTTCGCTATGGGTTAATTAGTAAGACTTGTATCATTAAACCAATATCTCCATCCCTAAAAAGAAATTGTTACAAACTAAAAAAAAAAAATTGTGGCTTCAAATATCTTGCAAATGGTTTAAAAGCCGTAAAAATGAATCAATCAACAGAAAAATAAACAGAGAGATGTTCGGTAGGATTTAATATATATATATACTGCTGGCAACTACATTCTGTGACAACAATTCTGATGCAGAAACCATTATAGCATTAATATCTAGTATTGCCTTTTAGATTTTCACAAGGAAAAAATCACTAGAAATGTTGATTTAAATTACAAAGTAATGTCTACGCCGTTAATGTTCAATTATAGATCAAACCGCATTAAAATAGAATACGTCTCACAGAAAGAATCAAGGAAAATTAATACAGACTTGAACTTAGTCTAGATATGTATAGATAAAAGATATTAGAGGAAACAGAAAGAAAGTAATAAATAAATGCTTAAAAGCGGCTATTGAGCCTTCAATTCAACTCAACTCTCAAGTGGAACTCGTAGATATGATCGATCACTAAAGTGGCAGATAATATATTGGCTTCCCTGTACAGCTTCAGTAAGTACATGACTCGAATAGAAGAACCAGATCAGGCTTAAAATGGAGTACTCCTGTCACATTTGAGCTTCATCACCTTTCAGTATCAAAAGAGTTCAAAAGCGTCTACGTGTCACTGTGGGCGACAAACTATTTTCCACCATGCAACGGCTCTGTCACAGACGAGATGTCGGAAGCCACTCACTGATCTGTCACATTTGAGCTTCCCTGTTCTCACCTTTCAGTATCAAAAGAGTCCAAAAGCATCTATGTGTCATTGTGAGAGACAAACAATTTTCCACCGTCCAACCCCTCTGTCACAGACGAGATGTCGGAAGCCACTCACTGATCTGTCACATTTGCGCTTCCCAGTCCTCACCTTTCAGTATCAAAAGAGTCCAAAAGCGTCTACGTTTAATTTTGTGTGACAAACTATTTTCCACCCTGCAACTCCTCTGTCACAGATGAGATGTCGGAAGCCTCTCACTGATCTCTCACATTTAAGCTTCCCAGTCCTGACCTTTCAGTATCAAAAGAGTACAAGAGCTACTACTTCTCATTGTGGGTGACAAACGATTGTTGCAGGGTGGAAAATAGTTTGTCACCCACAATGACATGTGAGTTTCCCAGTTCTCCCCTTTCAGTGTCAAAAGAGTCCAAGAGTGTCTACGTGTCTTTGTGGGTGACAAACAATTTTCTATCTTGCAACCCCTCTGTCACAGACGAGATGAATAACCCCTTTGAAAGACCACCATACTGTAACCATTAACTTTTTAGTCTGCAGTGGATGTTTTAGGTTTTGTTTTGGTGATTTACTTACATCTAACTACTGGTCTACTATCTTAATTTTCTCAAAGATAATCCATTTCTCATTGCATCTTTTCTCCAGATTGTACTCATACAGTAAGATTACTTGACATTGATTCATTGTAATCATTTTCATCCGGCATATGAGTAACAATATATTGAAAGAAAAATTAGCTGGAAAGAAAAAGATTCAGGAATAAGTCTTTTTTTTTATATATATATATATATAGATAGATAGAAAGCGGGCACCTCGGCGTGGTGAAATGGTTAGCAAGCTTGTCTCGCTAAAACAGTTCCAAACTGCAGAGTGAGTTCGATCCCCACTGGGCGCCCCCTACTTTCGGCCTTGTGTCACATTCTTGGAAAATCGCTAGAAAGGAGGTTACTTCGTTAGACGGCCGGAACAAAAACCATCCCAAAAATGCGTCGTTTCATGTATGTCTGACAACCTAATAGGTCGCTTTTGTTGAAGATAAACGAAAATCTTTTGTTAAGGTTGGAATAATAGTGTGACTCATCACTTATGGTGACGACAACAACGTCGATGGCAGTAGTCAAAAGTTTGACCTATTTTTTTATCGCGAGTCAAAAAAAAAAGCAAAAACAAAAAACAAAACAACATCTGCCTCTTGTATGAAGCAGCAACAGCGCGTCCTACAAAAAGTGAAAATAATGATGCTGTTGTCAGGCATCGTTACAGGCATCGTTATACCTTGTAGCTCTCAATAAGTTTTGTCCCTTTGGTACTTCTCCCAGACCCTGTCCTCTCATCCACATGCTTAAGCCTGCTAGGTATTTTTTTAAAACTCGAGGCGCTCCAGCAACCCCACACGATATTAACAGGCAGTGTTGGTTTTCCTTTACAAGGTACTCGTGCAAAATACAGCTTCTTCCCTTGGTTGGAAAATTTTGATATATTTCTTCCTTCCTCCTAGGTTACAGCAAGGTGGGCGTACGAGATAGGTTAGTGGTTTTCTAGGGCCTAAACTATAGAACACCTAGTGAGGATCGAACTCACTATTAAGCTGTAATTGATCAAGCGAGACAAATTTGCTAACCATTACACCACTTCAAAGTTCTCCATCAAGTTTTAAGCGTAGTTTAGATGTGGCATAAAGCCGAAAGTGTGTAGCACTCCAGTGAGGATCAAACTCGCTATTCAGTTGTACTTGATCTAGGAAAACAAGTTTTCGGGAAAAGAAAAGAGTAATCAGTAATTTGTTTTGTAATTATATTATTAGATGAATTACGAAACGAATTAACAAACCTTTCGATATTTATTTGTTTATTTATGTATTATTTCTTGATTTGTCTTGTTACATATTTATAAGACTCTGTTAATCGATTTCACCGAGGCAAGGCAATAAAGCCACTAAGACACAAGAGGTTACTGGGTATGGAAGAATTAGGAACAGAAAAATGAGCGGGAAGAGAAAATAGTAATCATGAGGATGGTAGATAGTGACTGACATCTTATTTAAATTTTTGCAGATTAAAGTTGGCTGGAAAGCATGGAGCCGGAAGGGAGTTCCACAAGTGAGAAGTGCGAGAAAAGAAACTGTTAACATAGAACTTACGGTTACATCTATCCAGCTCAACTGTTAATTGATGAAATCTCAACGCCAGTCTAATCTTTCTCTTTTTGTGTGCCATTTCTCCTCAGGATGTAGGCGATCATGGCTCTCCACTTCCTCCTATCCCTTGTAGCTCTCAATAAATTTTGTCCCTTTGTTACTTTTCCTAGACCCTGTCCTATCATCCAGATGCTTAAGCCAGCTAGGTATGTCACGCGTTGCTTTCTCTTGTCTCTCTTTCCCTCTTTTCGCCATGGGGGTATCAGATTCTCTAAGCCTTTTTTTTTCTCATTACGTGTCCCAGAAATTTCAGCTGCCTTTTCCTGATGTTAAGTATAAGCTTCCTCTTTGTTTGCATCCTCTCCAAAACATCATCGATGCTCACACGCTCGGTCTATGATATCCTTAGCATCCTTCTGTAGAACCATATCTCTGTTGCCTCGAGTTCAGCTTTGAGGAGACCGTCCAATATTCGCTGTCGTAGAGGAGGACAGATATCACGTAGCAGTTCAGTACTCATTTTTGTTACCAACGACTGCAACAAGAGGTTTTGTTTGTTTTTTTTTTTTAAAAAAAGTGTCTAGGTGTCCAAATGTTAGATTAAACTTTGAACCGTTGTATGTTAGAAATGATTAAAGATATTTTATTGGAATTCTCTGAGGTTTTTATAGCACAATTGGACTCTACTTTGAACAATAAGAATATATAATTACTCTCTAAGGTTAACAGAAAAATCGTGGTGAAAAAGATCATAAACAAAAATGACATGTTCATCATTAATTAATCACAGCTAAGGATCAGAAACGCATGAAGGACTGAAATAAAAGTACAAACATATATATATATATATATATATATATATATATATATATATATATATATATATATATATATATGAAAAATATATAGAAAATAGGAAGGAACTGGTTAGGCAAATAATCCAAAGTCCCTTAGTATTTTAGTTATTATTTTTAAAAAATAGTGCTCGATACAAAAGTAGAGCATAAATATAATTATTTATTTAAAAATATGATTCCAAATCGCTACATAAGAGGTCTCATGTTTCAAAACAAGAGCCGAAAACTTCAATATAATCCTTTAAATTAAATTGAGTTTAAATTAAAATGGGCTCCGTTCCATCTTCAAGCGAAATTTTTGTTTTGTTTTGTTATATATATATATATATATATATATATATTCTAGTATCATTTTCTAACTTATTCAAGATGATCTTCACCCTCTCTAACCTTCTAACTTTATGTCCTGGAATAACAAGTTGCATCACAGGTTTCATATACGATTTCATTTTCAAGTTTTTTTCACTCCTCTCTCACGTGCGAAACGTCTTATGGATTGAGTTTGATCTTTTCTAATTGATCTCTTTAGCTCTAAGTTGAAATGTTGATCTCTCTTCCCGTTGTGACCTCTTCATCTAGTTTTCCTCTCTAATATTCCATTTTTTAAAAAGTTATTCACCGTTCTCTTAATGGCTTTTGGATGGACTTTGAAGATAGGCGCCAGTATATGAACTTACTGAAGGCTTGAATTAATTTTTTCCTCTCACCATTGCTCATTTGAGAAGACAGTAAGGATGATACGATTTTAACCTGTTGTGTTTCTAGCTGAATATAGTTCTTCTAGTTTTGGTGTGAAGAATCCCCCCAAAATTTCTAAAAGTATTTTGATACACCTCTCTCTCTCTCTATATATATATATATATATATATATATATATATATATATATGATTATTTATTTAAAAATATGATTCCAAATCGCTACATAAGAGGTCTCATGTTTCAAAACAAGAGCCGAAAACTTCAATATAATCCTTTAAATTAAATTGAGTTGAAATTAAAAAGGGCTCCGTTCCATTTGTTTTAAAAATTGAAATCAAAATCACCATGGTAACAGCATGGGTAGGCGAGTGTAGGGTGTTAATGATAAGTAGCGGTGTAGAGATACTTTCAAGGTGTCAAGTCGGGGGAAGGTGAGGGTGTCAAAAATGAAACGAAGATGTATTAAGCTTTCGTCAAGTTGGCTTGTCTATGGAGATTTATTTATTTATTTTATTTTATTTTATTATTTTATTTATTTATTTATTTTATTTTTATTTTATTATTTTATTTTGCATATAAAAAGAAAAACTTTCGTAACGTTTGTTTTTTGACGACTTCATAAAGGGTTATCTTTTATGTAAGGTATTTAAACTACTAATTTGGGCTATGGATTATGAAGGGTGTTATGTTGTATGCAAGTTTGTAGTTAATAATTTCTACTATGAATCTGATGATTGGGCTATTTGTTAAACAAGTTATATAAATTTTTTTATTTCAAACCAAAAATCTGATGATGCCTACAAAAAACCGTTAACTCGTGTCTATTATTTAATAGATTATTATTATTTAGAAGTTTAATAATGTATATATATATATATATAATTAATATATATATATATATATAATTGTCAGCTTTCAAGCTACACCTGACAATTGCATTGTGCATGAAACTGTGTGTATGTAAACGAAAATTCTTTGTTAAGAATTTTCTTTTTTATGTTTCGGACCAATTGTATGGTTTTCGGTACATATATAGAAATGTTCCTATTTCTGAGTACGTTCATGTTTCGTAAGCCGATTGCTCTTGTGTTATGTTAGTTTTAGAATTTTTTAAATATCGCGTCTTCACAATGGAAGACTTGTTCAAGTACCGCCCGTTTTACGCGAGAGTTCATGTATCGTTTTCTTTCTGTTTTTGATTTTGGTATGTTGGTTCCTAAATTTGGTAACATTTTGTCGATGTGGGATTGTTTTTTATGCTAACAGCGTCTCGTATTTATTATCGTTTTTACAGTTTATTTAATATAGTATTTTTGTTTTAGTGCTAAGGTTTTGTTCGATTTCTTATTGCCTTTTATTGTGTCGCTGATATGTGCTTTAATTGAACTATTATCAGATAAATACCACATTACTCGTCGCGATAACGTAGTCGTTATATGTCCAATATATGTGTTATTTGAACTATTATTATGAGAAAAGGATTCTCCAAGCGGGCAAGTGAATTCAGAGCCAACATTGGTTTGCTGGAGTTTTGAATTTTTTTGTTGTATCGTTGATAATGTCCATGTTTTTTGATGAGTTTACTTTGTTTTTCTCGTTAGGTGATATATATTCTATGAAAATTTCTCGGACATTCAGGCCGGTAAATGTTATATAATACTGTTTATTATAAACAGAGCATTTACTTAAATACTTGTATCTATAAAAAAAAGAAAAGAACGTTAAACATAAAAATGTCTTTAATAAATAAATTGTCGGACCTTGTCCATTTCTTAATATATGACGTCATTTGTTTACATTTGATACGCCAGAGCAGTTATGAATGTACGAGATTCATGGAAGATTGAAGTTTATAAGCAGCAAATTCGACCTTGTCTACCGAACGCTCCTTTGTGACTGGTCGGTAAGGCACGTCAGCGTAAATGACGGTTCCGTATAGGATGCAGGTTCGAATCCTGTCAAAGGACGAATATTTTCTATGAAAATTTCTCGCACATTCAGGCCGGTAAATGTTATTTAATACTGTTTATTATAAACAGAGCATTTACTTAAATACTTGTATCTATAAAAAAAAAAAAAAGAACGTTAAACATAAAAATGTCTTTAATAAATATATATCAATGTATCAAGTTTCTGAAGTGACAATGAAAGTTTTCGTTAAGGCTTTCTGTGTTTATATTTTTTATATTTCGATAAACACGTGCATATAAGACGCTAGAAGCGAAAATCGCCCCGCATCTCATCTCTAGCGTCTTATATGCACGTGTTTATCGTTGCTTAGAAATTATCTATGTAAACAATGACAGACTATCATCACTGTCTTGTCCGTATATTGCTTAATATGTTGTAATTGACATCTTTGATAATGGCTTATGTAAGCCGAAAGCTTAGATTGTATTAAAAAATATGGATCAATATTGTGAATTTCTTTCTTCGTTCAATGATAATGTTATTAAACTTGTTAGACGTTATGAAAAGAATTTACATAAAATAAACACTTGTCTATGTTATTTAATGAAACGTATATGAATATATATATATATATATATATATATATATATGTATGTGTGTGTGTGTGTGTGTGTGTGTGTGTGTGTGTGCGTGTGTGCCCGTACATTTTGTGAAATATATTGTCAATTCAATGAATAAATTAATTCTGTAAAAAATGTCATAAGCGAGAATTAATAATAAGGTAAAAATAAGAGCAATATGAACGAGAAAATACAAATAAGTAGATAGAAAATAGAGGGAGTGAGTAAGAGAGATATAGAACGAGAGAGAGAAGGAAAGTAAAAGAGAAGGTGAGTGTAAGAGGGAGAGAGTAAGAGAGAGGTTCAGAGCAGGGAAAAGGAGGAGAGATTAAAAGAGAGAGGGAGGAGGAGAGTAAGAGGGAGGAAGTAGGAGAGAGGGCTTAGCGTAAGAGAGAGAGGGAGAGAGTGGGCGTAAGAGGGAAGGCGAGAGGTTGAGTGTAAGAGGGAGAAAGTAAGAGGGATAAAGTAAGAAAGAAAGAGGAGAGATTAAAGGAGAGTAAGAGGGAGATGTGAGATTAATAAAGAGCGGCAAAGATAGTGAGAGGAAGAGAGATTAAGGGAGGGAAGATGAGAACAAGAGGGCGAGGGTAAGAGGGAGATGTTGAGAGTATGAGAGATTAAGAAAAGAGGCAAAGAGAGGGGGAGAAGGAGAGATTAAGGGAGAGAAGGTGAGAGCAATGGAGAGGGTTAGAGGGAGACTTTAATAGAGAGAATATGAGAGCAAAGGAGTGGGTGAGAGAAAGAGAGTGAGAGTAAAAGAAAAAAAGAGTAAGAGAGAAAGAGAGGATGAGATAAAGGAAGAGTGACATAAAAGCGAAGAAAGGAAGGTAAAAGAAGGATCGAGAAATGTGGGGAATAGAAACTGGGAAATAAACACACAATCAGAAGAGAGAGAGAATAGGATAGAGAGAAGAGTTAAGAAGTGGCAACAGATCGGCACAATTACATGCCGCCTACACAACCCCACCATCAACCATTTATATTTTTTAAGACCGAGAACCGAAAATGCCATGCATATCTTTGCTTTCCTTGAAACGATTTCCTTTCGATTGTCTTCCTTCTCGTGACTACATTCAAAAATATTATCAAATACGACTATTCTAAATTGTTTGCCCATTACTATATTTATTCCAAGCATGAGCGGGTTCGGTGCGTATTACTGTCGAACAACCCAACCGGGTACGGGAAAAAATCTTATTAGCGGGCCCGGGTAGTGTTTTGTGACCCACGCTATCTTATCAACGTTTGCTTTTTTATCTACCTAACTTTATATAACTTACAAATTAAACTAAGCATAACCGACTATTAAAGGATAAAAAATTTTCGCGGATTTTGACGTCATTCTGTTTTTTTTTTTTGTTTTTTTTTTTTTTTTTTTTTTTTTTTATTGGTCCAAATCCGTGAATTTGTTTTGTTTGGTCTCGAAAAAAAATTAAAAAAAAATAAATAAATTAAAAAAAAAAAAAAAATTAAATAAAAAAACACTATATAAAATACATTATTTTTTAGTCATAATGTTGAATATGTTAAAATTGTTCAAGTTTTTAACAAGAAAAATCTCAAGTCGATGTTAAAAAATGCCGCAAAACATTGTTGATTTATTGAAGATGGAATGATTTATGACATCTCTCTAATTTGTAGTTAGATAATTGGTAGTTATTTTCATTTTTTAAAGTTGAATTATTTTCATTTTTTAAAGTTGAATTGTTCACTTATATTGCATATAATCCATTATTGTACATAATTAGGTTAGAATAACATTTATATTTTATATGAATACTACAGTATACACTCGCGAATAGGTCGCACTTTTTTTACCAAAAATTTCACAAAATATTAGGGGTGCGAACCTATCCGCTCGACATAAATGTAAAACAACACTAACTTGTCATCATGATTTCTGAAAAATCAGAAATGAGACCCATAAACACTAAAACTGTGGATTCAGTTCTGAATGAATTTTAAAACTGTAACTTGATATATAAACACTTTTTTTCTAAATGTTCCATAACGTTTTTTTCTGTAGTTATTTTTTTCCGAGTTGATATAAAAATACCGGTACTACAGTTACTTCCTTTTGTTTACATGATAACTGACGAAATGTATTTTAATGGCAAAAGTGAATTAATAATTGTAAGTTTTGAAATAAAGGTAAATATCTGATAATTCTTACGTTTAAAAAGAGCTGTGTAATGGTGCGACCTTATTGCGAGACAACAGTAAATCATCCATTATTAAGCCATGAAGTAGGGGTGCGACCTATCCAGTGGGGCGACCTATCCACGAGTATATACGGTACCTTATGAAAATTGAGATGTACTAGAGTGTGGGGGTGGTGTATCATAGATTTGGAGGGAGTATCATAGGTTGTGGAGGGGCATGAGACCCTTGCACCGGTCCTAGTCCTTGGCATACCTTTTTATACCTGTGGACCGCATAGTACACGTCATCAAAAGTCTTGGATTTATGCTGCACCACTAAAAAGGATCCAAGTTAATTTTTCGGAGCAGCTATTTGCCATAGAGAAAACTATATTGCTCACCCTCTTTCTACCTGACCTAGGATTGAACTCACGATTAATACGTTACCAAATTCACTGGAAGAGACAACTCAACACCGTCATCTCAACACCGTCATCTCAACACCGTCATCTCAACACCGCCGACTGAGCGCCGAGAAAACTCAAGACTGAGACAACTCAGTACCAGAAAAGCATACTTTTTTTTATAACCGTATATAAGTCGTAAGTTTTGAAATAAAGGTAAAAATAAAAGGTAGATATCTGATAAGTGCTACGTTTAAAAAGAGCTGTGTAACTCCTCAGATTATGGTGCGTGCTATCTGTGAGTCAACAGTAAATCATCCATTATTAAGCCATGAAGTAGTGGGGCGACCTATCTGAGAGTATATACGGGAACTTATGAAAATTGAGATGTACTAGAGTGGGGGGATGGGGTGGCATATCATAGATTTGGAGGGAGTATCATAGATTGGGGAGGAGCATGAGACCCTTGCACCAGTCTTGGTCCTGGGCAAACCATTTTATACCTGTGGACCGCATGATCTATGTCTCATCAAAAGTCTTGGATCTATGCCGCACCACTAAAAAAGATCCAAGTTAGTTTTTCGGAGCAGCTATTTTCCATACAGAAGACTATATGCATAAGTCTATACTTTAGAAATGGGGGAACAGTTGATTTTTTTTCCTCAGGAGAAAAGATTTTTCTATAATTAAAAAAAATAATGTCTTAATATAATATTATGATTGATGATAGTGTGATTAGTACACGTCGATGCTTGTGATGTATTTATTTTTTCATATCAATTCACCCAAAGCAAGGCAATAATGTTATTAAGACACAAAGGGCTACTGAGGAGGAAAGAGAATCTACTCCTATTGAGGAAAAAAAAATAAATACAATATCAGAGGTTAGGCGGGCATGTTAGAAGTATAGAGTTGAAGTAGACTTTAGAAGGAACCGAAAACCCAATCCTGAACAGGAAACAAAGGATAAACCTCTACTTCCCTTGAGGTCAAAAATTAAAACAATAAATAGGAAATACAATTTCAGAGTTTAAGCGGAGATGTTAGAAGTAGACTTTAGAAGGAACCGGAAGCCAGATCCTGAACAGGAAACAAAGGATAAATCTCTACTTCCCTTGAGGTCAAAAATTTTAAGTTTAAAAAGTTTAAGTGGAGATATTAGAAATATAGAGCTGAAGTAGACTTTAGAAGGAACCAGTAACCCAGTCCTAAACAAGGGATAAACAGCCTGTTCTAAAGACTAGAGAGACGTGTCATCCAAATGATAGGTGCACCTATCTACTCATATCGAGTGGGAGAAATCAGAGTTTAGGAAGAGTCGTTAGAAGCATAGAGTTGAAATGAGAGTTTTTAAATGAGTGATCAGTTACAAATTGAGAGATTCTTGAAGAAAAGAAATAGTTGCGTTACTAGGCAAGATCAACATGTAATAAAATGGTAATATCATATCATGACTGCAGTTTGGCTATGAGTGAATTTTATTAGAACATATCTTCAGTTTAAATGCAGGAAACATAATAATTACTTCAAAGGGTCGCACATTGATGTTGACACTCTTTCCTGTTACTCAGGGGTTGTTGCCAGAGTGAAAGCTAACTTATCCCTCATGGCACAGATATCCATTTTCATTTCATTAAAACTGTGTATGTATGTACGCCGGTGTGTGCGCATGTATATTTGAATTCGACAACAAACAAAAGGGCCGCGTATTTTGGTTGATACATATTCATGTTACCCAGGGGTATTGCCAGACTGCGGTAACCATCCATAACAATAAAATAAATGTTTGTCAGCGCTAAAGCTGAATTAGTCAAATAAAGCTTCATAAGCATCTATAAGCATAGATGAGGCACGATGGAGTAATAGATAGTGGCTCGGATTGAGGAATCGGAGAGCCGAGTTCGAATTCCAGTCGAGTTCATTCCCTTACGTGCTAATATCCTTGGTAAAGGTATGACTCCAACTGATGGGTAAATAGTAGGACAGACTGGGTTCTATAGCCTTGGTTGGCAACCAGTCTACCGTAGAAAGAAATGGCAACCTACTGCAGAAAAACCTTCCGACTAGCCTGTCATGACTCGAAAGAGACCTACAGTGTATCACGTATGATACTTAAACTTTAGCCCTCTGCATTATTAATATTATTTCCCATTCCACTGCATTCGTTGTCAATGCATCTCTGTTTCAGTGTCCTTATTGTTAATTTCACTCAAAGTTGTTTTCTGTTGCCATAGCAGGATATGATAACACAACTATGAAATTCAAACACACTATTGGCAGGATAACCTATTTGTACAGCAAATGAAGTCACATACAGAGTGATGAAGGTTAAATGACTGAACGAAGCATCTACTTGGACTTGTTAGTATATTACACCGTCTTTGTCATGACGATAAACTACATCCGGCACTAAGGCTGCTGTTCGGGAGGTTTTGAGAAGCTTGGAACCACCTCTTAATTTCTGTTGTTACCAGGTCGACCCTAACCAAGGGTCCCAGGGCAAATAGTTAACACCCAGACTAGGGCCAAAACATGAAAATTTAAAAATGCATTTTAAAAGATTACCAGCAATACATTTTCATAGTAAAATAAATAAATAAATTACCACCAATACATTATCGAAAAAAATGTTTACCAGTTAAGTGCTATACCTGATAAACGCTTGGGCGATCATGTATCTTTCGATACATGACTGACGAGGCAAAAGATTTTACCGGGTAGACTGGTTGCTAATTAAGTCTAAAGAACTCAGTCTGTCCTGCTAGTCAACTCATAACGTGGACAAGAACAATTCATACATTTCCTAAAGTAAATCTAACGAACTCACCTGGGATTCGAACGCCGGTCTCCAAGTTCTCATCCCGAGCCGATATCCATTACTCCACAACGCACATTAATACATTTTTGGTATATTACTGTATTACCAAGACTCACAAAAACATAAAATTTCAGCATTAAATGAGGCATAAAGAGTTAATATGCCGTTAAACCTAACAAATCAAACTATATTACAAGCGACACAGATGGCCATTTTCATTTCATTCAAATTGTATATATCCACCCTTGTGCAAATTAATTGAAACAAAACGAATAATTCCGTTATTATTTATTTATTTTTGTATTATTCCAATGAAGCATGACCCAATGCACATGTTAGTATTTCGTATGTCCATTCCTCGAAGTCTTTCCTTGCAGATTGACCACAGATTCTCGATTGGATCTAAATCAGGAGAGTTTCCCGGTCAATCTATAGTACTTTGATTTGCTCACTGGTAAGGCTTTCCAGTGTGTTCGTGCAGCGTTTGCAATTTTCGTACGCCTCCTTGGATTAACGTCCATCGTGGACAATGGCCGTAGGACAACTAATCGACAGTCGAAACAATAGTGTCTGCGCGTGATAAAAATCTGATGCAATTACGGATGTCGCAATATTTTCCAGGCCCAAAACAAATATAGATTCATATCATTACACACCACTGCAAATGACCTAATCTGAGGGAAAAATAAATATCGATTACGCCCTTTTCACTCCAGTGGGTCTAAATCTGACCGTATGGTGAAAGCAAGGAAACTAAAGCGGTTGTTCAATAATTATTCATCCTATTATTAAAATAATTATCCGATTTTTTTTTTTAACGTTTCAACGTATTTTTTGTTCTTACTTTATTATTTACACTCAGACAGTGCGTGTGAGGGAGTGAGAATCATGTCTTCATTTCTAATATAGATTATTAAATTGGATCAGACACGTTCATCGCTTGTCACCTGCCCGGTTCGTTCCAATTAGTCACACTATTCAATGTCAAAATGAATCAATATATAATTATAAACAATTGATGACTTTAATATTGTTTTCACGCTCCGTCGCGCGAGCTGACACACATAATGCAATTTTTTTTTTTTTTAAATAATTTCCAGGATGATAAAAAAATGAATAAGTAAAAAATACGTGTCTATTAACCTTCCATATATGGCTTGTCCTCAAGTGGCTGTCCATTTTAAAACGCTGAAGTCTGAGCAATATAAGCTTATCTCCTGCAGCTAATGTGAGAACGTCATAGAAAATTGATTTGGTGAAGATAAGCCACGACATGATCATCTAAAGGTTTCTTTATCTATCTATCTATCTATCTATCTATCTCTCTCTCTCTCTCTCTCTCTCTATATATATATATATATATATATATATATATATATATATATATATATATTGAGGGATATCTGTCTATTTTGGGAAATTATCTATATCTATTTATCAATATATATATATATATATATATATATATATGGGGAATTATCTATTTTGGGAAATTATCTGGGAAATTATCTATATATCTATCTATCTCAGTTATTCAATCTATTCATATATCTATATATATCTATATATATATATATATATATATATATATATATATATATTGATTTATCTATTTTTGGGAAATTATCTATCTACCTATTTTCAAGAAATTATCTATATATTTTTGTAAATTATCTCTATCTATCTCATCTATCTATCTATCTATCTATCTATCTCATCTATTCTATCTATCTATCTATCTATCTATCTATATATATATATATATATATATATATATATATATATATATATATATTTGAGGGAATTATCTATTTTTTGTAAATTATCTATTTACCTTTTTTCAAAATTATCTATCTATCTATCTATCTCTCTATCTATCTATCTATTTTCAAGAAATTATCTATCTACCTATTTTCAAGAAATTATATCTATCTATTTTTGTAAATTATCTATCTATCTATCTATCTATCTATCTATCTATCTATCTATCTATCTATCTCAGTCTATTCCTATCTATCTATCTATCTATATATATATATATATATATATATATATATATATATATATATATATATATATATTAAGGCAGAATTATCTATTTTTGTAAATTATCTAGCTACCTTTTTTTCAAGAAATTATCTATCTATCTATCTATCTATCTATCTATCTATCTATCTATCTATCTATCTATCTATCTATCTATATATATATATATATATATATATATATATATATATTGGGGTGGAATTATCTATTTTTGTAAATTATCTATCTACCTATTTTCAAGAAATTATCTCTCTATCTATCTATTTTTGTAAATTATCTATCTATCTATCTATCTATCTATCTATCTATCTCAGTCTATTCCTATCTATCTATCTATCTATCTATCTATCTATCTATCTAGCTAGCTAGCTAGCTAGCAGCTTTTATTGTCTCTTTTATCGCTATCTCTGTCTGCTGAATCTATATCTCTGCCCTTTTCTCCCTCTCTCGCTGTTTCTATCTATTGTGTAGTATACGGCTATTGGTTAGCTAAACAACATGTCACCCCGTGTTGGAACATTTAATGTCGAATATATAGTTTTATGGGGTAAAAATTACAATTAGATAAGCAGACACAGGCCCAGTTTACACGAGTGTAAGAATGTTAGATCCGGTTTTGAGTCTTGTGAAAAGGTCACTTACGTCCGGTTTACACCTGAAGGTCAAAAAGGTAGAAATCTGCTCGGTTATGCCAGAGTTAAAAAAAAATGACAAAGATCCGCTTTAAGCCAGTGTTAAAAGATAGAAACAGGCCCAATTTAAACAAGAGTAAAAATGTTAGACCTAGGCCTGGTTTTGAGTAGAATACGTTCAATTTCTTCTTTTTCAGGACGTGAGCGATCACGATTCTCCACAGCTTCCTTTCCTTTTGTTATATGGGAGTAAATTGTCACCGCCGACACTTGAGTTTGAACATAGATCGCCAGTGAGCAAACACAGGCGATCCCATTATTGAATTAAGTAGACCACGTGACCATAGAGGAAACGCATATATAGGAAGTCGCGTGACGTCTAGACTGATCTTCATTTTTAGTCTATCCTCTATTATTATACGGACCGCTATTTTCTATACTATTCCCTGTACTATTTCTCTATTTGGATCACTATAAGGTGGACTATTCAAGCGAGTATTATCGAGCAAGTACTATAAGTGCAAATGTTATTCGAAGGCGTCTGACACCAGCATTGTTCAACGGCGTACTATAGTTGTATCTGCGATTACAACGTCTCTACTACATCGAGCAAGACGGAAATGACATCGAATATTCGTGGGCATTACAACAGTGGCAACGAGTGTTAGTTGACATCACAAAGCCTTCGTAGCCCGGAGTGAAAATTGTCATTGTGCTATATCTCCTAATCTCTGTTCTGCTAACCATACGCTTTCCTCTGTTTCTTTTGCCATCAATATATTCTGTGAGTATCAAATCCAATTTATACCAGTCAAAAAGATAGATATTTGTCCTAGTCAAAGATTACCTTCGAGTTAAAATGGTTGACAGATGTCCGATTTAGTGTAGTATGTAAAAGATGATATAAATTCGATTTACACAATCAGTACACAAGCGCAAAAACACCCTCCCTAAAACAGCGATTTCTTCTTGCAACGACAACCTCACCTGTGTGGAATCGCTTCCTGGATAAATGCCTTTTGGGGGCTTGAAACAGTTGACCAACTGAAGAAGCTATGTCAAGATTATGCGGCAGATGTGTCAAAACAAGCCAACTACATTTCCGTAGGGACACTTTTATCAAGTTGGTTATGTGTCAGGTGACATTGTCGTACAACAGCTTCCGTTCTTCGTCTGGTGTTGTTCAAAGTGTCTGATCATGTGCCATGAAGTCTACAGGGTAAAACATCTCACCCTGTCGGCTGGGGCTTCAGAATATGGCGACTGCACCTCTGCGGAGGGGTAATACCCCCCCAAGAAGGTGTCCTGGGTAAGACGATAAACTACATCCGACTACATCCGACGCCTCTGATCAGGAGGTTTTGAGGAGCGTAGAACTACCTCTTAATTGCTGGTGTTCCCAGGTCCACACTGACCCGGGGTGGCAGCACCTGTTAGGGTCCCAGGTAAGGGAAAATAGTTAACACCCTAATCTGGAGCTAAAACACTATGAAAGTGTAAAAATAGGCTTTAGTATTAACAATAAATTTTTCGAAGGAAAAATATTGCCAGCAATGCAATTTAGAAAAAAATAAATGCTACAAGCAATACATTTCCGAGGAAAAATATTACCAACAATGCATTTTTAAGGAAAAGGGTATTAACAGCAATATATAGTTTTGGAAAAAAAATTACCAGGAATAAAAATCTTGTCGGCATTAAATAACTGTTGTAGAGTGAACGAAAAGTTTTTTTTTTTTTTTCCGTATGAATCCAAAATACGTTCGTCGTCAAGTGTTGTATATGGCGAAACGAATTTTTTTTTCTTTAATTTTTTTTTTCCGTATGAATTTCGAGTCCTGGTCGCCAAAGTTGTTATAGAGTGAACGAAAAATTTTTTCTCTCCGTATGAGTAACGAATTCCTCGTCGCCAATGTGTTGTTATGGCCGGTGATTTTTTTTCTTCCGTATGAGTTACGAATCCCTCGTCGCCAATGTGTTGTAGAGTAGTTTTCACAGTGGAGGCTTGTATTTCACTAAGTCGGTCCTAAAAGGGTCCGACGTACAAAACGTTAGGAACTTGAAATAATAGTTAATGACGCAGCAATCTAGTTGTGGTGCTTGATACTTTAAGGTCCGACATCGACTGACCCGACCAACTCACTGAGCCCTCCCCCCCTGGCGACTGCTGCTACTCCTACTTGTTATATCTGGGAGAGTCTATTTACAATAGAATAGATATGTTCTAGTATTACAATAACCCATTGTGGCTGATATACCGTAAAACAAAACAAAACAAAACAAACAAAAACAAAGCAAAACATCTTTTGTGTCCCAGCGTAGGCTGTTATTGATAATTCGTTACTGAATTTAGAATAATTAAATAAAAAAAAAAATTACAAAATATGTCTTTCTTTTCTGAATTTTTGGGGATGGGGGAGTTATAACTATTTACACGATTTATATTCGAACACTTGTTCTCATTTTTGAATATTTGCCTCCATTTTTTTTGTTGTTATCACAAGGTTTCGGCTGTTCTTCATATACACTTTCCCAGATTGTATATCCCACCCCGCTGTAATCTACACGTAATTCTGAACTGAACCCTTTATTTAAAGCAACGGGCGTAGACTGTTCTCGTCCCACTGCTCATATCTAGGAATATCGACTAGTTCTTAATCTTATTAGTTATCTCGTTTCTAGTTAAGAATAATTTAAAACTGTTTCGACTGTAGTGTGGCTGTTGGAGTGTTGTGTGTGACGTTTAAATATTCCCAAACTCATTAATTTCTAAGCCAATGTAGAAATGACTTATTTTAACGCCTCTAAAACAAAACTGCTCTCTTTTAACCCTATATTACCCAATTTTTTAAAAAGTACACACGATTCCTAGCTGATAATTTGTTTCTTTTACTCCTACCCACTACTCTCCTGACTCAGTGAATGCGTGTAGCACGCAGAGTGGCGCAGTTTTAGTTCAGATATCGTGGGAGGAAGACGCCAATTCCGAGGTGACTCTTTCTCAGTCTATTCCTCTATCTATCTATCTATCTATCTATCTATCTATCTATCTAATATATATTGGGGGAATTATCTATTTTTGAAAATTATCTATCTATCTATCTATCTGGTTGTTCAGGAAATATCTATATCTATTTTTTTGGAAATTATTGATCTATTTATGGAAATTATCTGTCTATATATCTATTTTCAGGAAATATCTATCTATCTATATCTACTTTTGGAAATTATCTATCAATGGAAATTATCTATCTATCTATCTATCTATCTATCTATGTTCAGGAAATATCTATCTATATCTATTTTTGGAAATTATCTATCAATGGAAATTATCTATCTATCTATCTATCTATCTATCTATCTATCTAGCTAGCTAGCTTTTATTGTCTCTTTTATCGCTATCTCTGTCTGTCTGCTGAACTTCTCTCTATTGTGTAGTATGCGGCTTATGGTTAGCTAAACAATATGTCACCCACTACTTTCCTGGCTCCGTGAATGTGTGTAGCACGCAGTGTGGCGCAGTTGTAGTTCAGATATCGTGGGCGGAAGATGCCAATTCCGAAGTGACTATCGCAGGATTAACCATTTGAGAGAATCCTTTTTTTTTGCCAGAAATCATCATGGCTGATGCTAACCACCAGGCCAATGATTCCTTGCGACTTCTCGGGCTAACGTTTTCCGCTACTTGGAAAGCTGGTTCCCTGTGTCGTACTAGTCAATATTTCTCGCTGGAATCTAGCTTACACATTTATAAGTTTACCATTCGTCCATGCATTGATTGTTGCTATCTGGCTTAGCGGGTTTTGTTGCTGTCTCGAGTAGGTATTTAGAGATTCTTAACAAAATACAAAGAATCTGCAATGATATTGATCTTGTCCTGGCATCTCAGCTTCAACCGCCGTAACGTACCTTCCTTGTTCCTTTTCTATAAATACATTCATGGTAATAGTTCAAATGAACTTTGCTCTATGGTACCTAGATTTTATGAATTTAAGCGCAGTACTAGGTTGGCGGCAAGGTCTCATCATTTTATTGTTGATTTGGCTAGATGTAAGCGTACGTTTTATGCTAACATTTTCCTATCTCACAGTTCTAGTTTATTGAACTCATTTCCGGCTTCTTGCTTTCCAGTCAAGTCTGATCTTCAAAAATTTAAATGCATTGTCAATTATTATCATCTATCTTTTTAATTCTTTTCTTTTTGTTGTGGATTCCGAGATCAAATTCGGTCTCTAATGAATGATAAACGCAGGACTTAAATCTAAGAAATAAAATGTATTTACACAATAATACAAAGGGTAATAATGTTAGTAAATCCAAGAACGCAGTTAGTAGCAATAATATATAGATATATACAGTCTCGAAGTAGGACTTTCTTAGAGTCTACGTTCTTGTAACTGACTTCTACAAGAGGTTACCTCACACTATTACTCTACCTCCAACTCAATCACAATCTCAGACTTCTTACTATCTCAATCTGACTACTCTGACTGACTCTGGGTATTTAACGGCAGCAGTCCAAGTAACACTATGGTCGAGTCCACTTATATGAAAAAAGGGAGGACCCCCATAACACTTTTATTGTTTTATTTTAATTTTTCTTTTATTGTTATATAATACCGCTTTTTTTCTCTCATATTCTTTCACACGCAATAACCCCTTACGTCTTAGTGATTTTATTGCCTTACTTGGTATGAATGAATAAAAACAAAAGGAGAAACTATACTTCATCTACGC